TGGAGGATAAGAAGCATAACGCAGTGCCTGGCACAGGAAGTGCTCTGAGGAGGGGGCTGCATGACTGGGAGGCTTGTATGGAACCAATAAGGATGGGGAGTTGGGGGGAAGGGGCACCTTCTGCACAAAATCAAGGGGCTGGGAAAAAGGACGGCCTTGGCCTCTTGTGAAGCAAGGTCTCAGGGGGTGTGGAGTCTGCCGAATCAGAGGGCCCAAACCTCACCGCTGTGTGGAAAAAAGGTGGTTAAGGTGTTGCAACAATGGTACCCTTGGGACCTGATCCAAAAGGCAGTCACTTTCTTTTCTGTGGCAAAGCTGGAGAGCCCTTTGCCCCAGGCAGTCACCCAAATCCAGGAGGCTTTCCAGCTGCCTGGTTCAGAGCAAGAGATAAACTTATAGGCCACAGCAGGGCCTGGGAGGAACTGCCAACTACAGGGCAGTGGAGAGGGGCTGCACAGCAGCACTCCTGCTCCTGCAGGAGCCGGGTCTGGGGCCGAGGGCAGTCCTAGAGACAGCAGGGTGGGGACTTGGGCTGATCAAGGGAAATGGGCTGGGTAGGAGGGGGCCAGGCTCTCTATCTGGTGATGGGGCCGCCTCAGACCCGGCGTTGGGGACTGGTGACAGGGTCTGACCCTTACTGGGCACTTGATGCTGGGGATTCAGAGATGAGTACAACAGGCCCCTGTTATTGAGATGGTGCTTCTGAAACTGTGAGGAGCATACAAGTTACCTGGCGATTCCGATAAAATCAACACTGAGTCTGGGCTAGGCCTGAGCGCCCACATTTCTGATGAGCTCCAGGTGACAACGAGGCTGTCACAGTCTGCACTTCGAGTAGCATGGGTCTAAGAGGTCATGGCCAGGAAGGAAATGTGTGAACTCCACCACCCATGCCATGTGGTGGGCAGAAGGAATGGAGGCAGGAGAGAGGAGTCTGGCCTGGGATATCGCAGAGAGCCACACAGGGGAGGGGCCATCTGAGCTGGCCTGGAGCACATGTGACTTGTCCTTATTAGGACAAAGGCAAAGGCAGCACCTCACATGTATGGGGCATTTATCTGAACTCCTTCCATGTAAGAGCTCACAGTGTCCCCAAGGGACCCATCACCCAATTTACAGGGGAAGAAGACTGAGGCAGGACACTTGCCCAAGGTTGGGTACAGCTGGGCTGTGAACCTAGATCTTTCTAGGACCCCAGGGCCCATGCGCTTTTACGCTGCCTGTAAAGGGTATGTGGGAAGAAGGACCTTGAAGGCTCAAAGGGCAGCAGGCAAGGCTTTCTAGGGGTGGGAAATGGTCTGGTGTGGCTGGAGGAAGAGGTGGGCAGGTCAGGGAGGGAAGAAGCAGACGGGCAATAGGTGAGATGCTGAGGTGGCCTAAGGCTGGAATGCAGTCTCTGAAGTCACTGTGAAGAAGTGGGACACCCCCAAAACTGCCAGGCTAGGGCCACGGCCCAGCACCCAGAGAAGGAGGCTGGACCACCAGTCCTGTCACAACTGGTGGACAAGGGTGGGGTTCACATGTGTTCCCATCCTCTGAGTGTGAAGGTGGAGAGAGCAGGTTCTCAGGCCAGGCTCCTGGGCCAGCACCACCGTCTGTCACGATCCCTCAGCCCAGGTGGGAATAACAGCAGTGCTCTCCTTGGAGATGAGGTCATGAGGGTCAAGGGGCTGATTCACGGTGAGGTTTAGTGTAGCCAACACATGGGATGTGCTTAGAACACATGTCCAGTCCTACACAAGAGCTGAATGTACAAGAGGTACTGTTATTATGGGGAAAATTGCTCAGGGATGGGTTTCTGGATTTCTTCTAGAACTTGTTTCTGCATTTGGCTACACCAGGCTGAGCTATAAAGAACAAAACCAAATCAGAACATTCATTTTTGCCCATGTGTTTACAGCTGGGGGTCAAACTTCACCTTGAACCAGAGTGTCCTGCAGGGCATACTCACACAAGCTGTTTTAGCCCAAGAAGGGGCCCTGTGGCTGGGAGAGACGGTCAGGAAGACTGAGTTTTGGGGGCAAACATCAGTCCTCGGGTGATCTCTGGTCCCAGATCAGAGGCCCAGGCTCCTCCCTCTCCTGCAGTAGGATGTCCAGGCCCATCTCCAACGACGGACCCATCCCAGAGCCCAGAGCCTGCTTCTGTCGAGCATTCCACTCAGCTCAGGGCAGGCCCCGCAGGCCTGTTCTCAGCACCTCACCATTCCCTCTCCTCATGTCCCTCTGTGTGGAGGCAGGCAGAGAGGCATAGTAGTTGCAAAGTCACAGGGGACCCAACCAGCTGTTTTCACATCATTTCACCAAAACACAAGACAGGGAAATGTGGTGTCCCTCTATTGGCAGAGACCACCGTCCGCCCAGGCAGCTCCCCTCCTGACTGCCTCAGAGGTGGCCCTCTCCCCAGCCTGGGGCTCTGTCAAGGTCAGGAATGAAGGGAGGTGGGTGGGAGAAACAAGACCATCACCTCTGCCCGTGCTGCTCTATGCTGGAGGGAGAGATGTTCATGCTAGGCCAGGCAAGAGAGAGCAAAGTCCCCTGTGGGCAACTCAGCCTGTGGCCCCGGAGACCACTGCTGTGGTGCATTTAGGCCAACACAGCAGCTGCCCAGGTGTGTGAGCGGCCGGCTTCTCTACTGCTGCATTCAACCTGCACCGTCTTGAGTTTACAGACCCGACACACAAGTGGGGCCATTTGGCTTCCTACAATTGCTACAATTCCTACTGGTTTCATCTTTGCTAGACTCTCTGCCTCCTCGGCTTTCCAGAAAGTCCCTTTATGGGGGCAGAGAGATCTATCATAAAGGGACACAGCACTACAGTCTGCAAGGTCTCAGAGCTGTGCCCTGGTCAACCAGAGGAAAGCAGAATCCAAAAAGGAAGAGGGTCTGGCCTTGCAGCCTCTGCTCATGGGCACAGCTGGATGGAAACACACAGAATGAATCCCTCACATGCCTGAGAAGCAATGGGAGAAAGAGCAGCCAGAAAGGAATGAGCGTGCCCTTACTACATGCTTTTTTTTTTTTAACCTACATGCTTTCTGACTCACACAGCCACTCCTACCATCCTTGGTGCCTGGTGCAGGCCCTCCCTAAGGCAGCTGAGGCGGGAGAGGGGACATGGCATAGCTCTGGCTTCCCGTGCTCTCTTATTACTGCTTTGAGCTTGACTTTGACCTTATAAAATCACATCTGAAAGATCTGGTGCCAGCTGTGGACAGTATGCATGTGTGGTTCCCACACTCCTTGCAGGGCACACGTGGGTCTCCGGCTAAGAGCACAGGGCCCACAGCTCTGTTTATCCTCGAAGAAGGAAGCATTACTGGCTGCAGGCATTTCCTTGGTGCTCTTTCCAGGATGGAATTTCTTCCCATCTGGCACACTTGGCTGTTTTTTATGAATTCAGGGTGAGTCCCTAGCTGATGTGAGCCAGTCTGACAGCTTTGTGAGCTGGGGCAAGTCTTCACCACTTCAGTTTCCTTAGTGGCCCACCTGTCTTGGCAGGGCCAGGAGCTGGGGTTCAGAGCTCTTTGCCATCCAAGTCCCCCTCAGCCCTTGCTTCCAAACAGTGGAAGGTGTGCTGCCGGAATGCCTCGGGCTAGGCCCTGCAGCAGACCTGGGTTGCTCACAGCTGTTTTTCTGGCCCCACCCATCTGCTAGCCAGGAAGGTATTTCACCATTATAGATCACAGAGAGTCCTGGGAGAGCAAGGTGTTCCCTACCTGAGGCTGCACTGCCTCAGCGTCTCCCCTTCTGAGGAGGAGAAAAGATGCCTGACAGCTGCTTCCTGGGAAGGGAGATCTGAGGGCTGCCCTCTGTTGGCAGGAAGCCTTCTATCAGTTGCGGCTCCTGTACCCTCTCATGGAGGCCCCCACCCCTTCCTCAGGCCTGGCCCCATACTCAACCTGGGCATTCCTAGAGCCCTCTGCTCCTTCCTTGCTTCAGCCAGAAACAGCTGGAAACTTGGGACCAGCTGCAAGCAGAGCGTGCACAGTGGCGGTGGCCTGAGCCTGCGGTCCTACGTGACACCCCACTGTGGAGCTTGACTTCAAGTATCACCAGAAGACGTCTTCAATGCATGGCTCTCTGTGACTGACCTGGCAGCCCTGGGGCCACCTCCAGCTCCGCTGAGCAGGTGTCCTCAGGGCTGGGTACCAGTACTCTGTGGGACCAGCAAGGTGGGGCTGCAGGAGGGAAGCTGCCACTGAAAGGCCCCAAATCTACTTGGCCCTTGGCTTCTGCATCTTAGGAGGAGTGTCTAGGACCTTGTATCTGGATGTCAAGAGCTGCTCAGGGGACAAAGAGACACCCCAGGCAAACACCCAAGATTCGCTGGGTACTTTCCTTCCAACTTATGTTCCTGGGCATTTTCCAGTATTGTGTTGTTGGAGCAAAGTGGTATCTGCCTGGGAGGCAGGACCTGGGAGTTGCATTGGCCCAGGGAGAAGAGCCACCTGTTATCTGGAAGGATCCTGAGGGGTAAGCACCAGGAGTGCCATGGCTACCTTCACATCCAAGGACTGCCCGGAAACATCTTGTTTGAATTATCCCCTCTCCTTCCTGGGCTGCCTGCCACTTTGTTTGCTATTTTCAGCTTCTCAGTGAGGAAGGAAATGGCTGCTTAGTCTTCCACCTGTGAGACTCAAGACTCCAAAGCCCCTTGATTCCTGACCAGGGAGATGCCACCCCAGGAAAAGATAATCCGCTGACTCAGATGGTTTTATATTTAGCCAGTGGCTCAAAAGTGTGAAAGGTGCAGGGAGACGAAGGGAAAAGGATGTGAGGGTCTCTTACAGGGGTGGAGGGCTGCTGCAGTGAGAGCCAGGAGGCAGCAGGAGGCCATGCTCTGTCTGTCTGCCTCCCAAAGAGTGGTAGATCACTGGCCCGCACACCCTGACAGAGCTCCAGGGAGGGACAGCCCAAAGGCTGGTCCAGTCCAGGACGAGACTGAGCACTGCAATTCCCAGGGTCCCTGAAGCTGCAACCATTTGAGGAAGACTCACCGGGAGTGTTCAGCAGGCCAGCTCTGCTGGAGGGTGGCACTTGGAGCTCTGAGTGGTTGACCCGGAGGTCAGGGCCATCAAGGGGACCTGGGTCATCCGTCTGGCCTGCGGGGGAGGAAGCAATTTCTGCCAACACCTCCAGATCCTTCAGGATAACCTGGGGGAGAAAAGCAAGAGGATGAGGGACAAGGACCTGCACACTGAGCTGTGGCCAGCGACAGACAGCTGCCTCCAGGGGGTGGGGAGGGGTTGGCAGAGAGCGACAGGCTGGTGAGAGCTGCCAAAACTCTGGCTCTAGCAGTGCTCAGAGAGTTCTACAAAGGATATGGACTGAGGAGAATATAGACAGGCAGTAGACAGGGGCAACTGGAGGAAGCAAGCTAGAGTCTAAAGACTGGGAGTCAGCTCTCCCATGACCACTCCTCTCTGGGCCCCAGAAGATGAGGGACTCAGGCACCAGCGCGCAGTCTGTGTGGTGTGTGCTTCAGGGCACCTCGACTGGCCATGTCCCATGGCAACCTGGGTGAGTGCCTAACAGTGCCATCCAGGCCACACTGCCGGGTGTGCTGGTCACAGTCCAGCCCACCATCAGACCACAGGACAGATTCTTCTGTAGTGGTGACCCCAGGCCATCCTCCACATTCAGGGTGTAACCCTGGGTTCTAGGATAGAGCGATTCCCAACTTACAGACATGCTGTTCAGTTCTCAGCTGCCTCTGTGACATGAATACACAGGTGTGAGAGGCCCCCAGGGCTGCCCCTACAATTGGGACCTTTAGAAGTTGTCTTCCCCTGCATAGCACCCATTGCCTCCTGCTCCTCACCTGGCATCAACAGGGAGCAGGGTGGTGTCCCATGGGGGCTGGAGGTGTGGGGGGAGCAGCACACTGTGTGCGTTCATGTGTATGTGAGAGACTTAGTAACTAGCCTGTCCCAGCTCCTCCAGCAGGCCCTTCACCACACTGCAGGCAGGGCTGCCCACCCTGTTCTGCTCCCTACTCGTCTTTGTGTTCAGAAGAGGGGCTGTGCCTGTCCCAGCACAAGCAGATGTACCCTAGCACCCAGTGGACATCCAGTAGGCATCAGGTGAATGGATGGATGACTGTGCATGAACCCAGGCCAAGAATTACCATGGCAACCGAGGGCTTCAGCCCCAGACCATGGAAGTAATGCAGCCATAGTGCAGCGCCGCATGACCAAGCAGCCCCTCCATCTGGTACATCTACCTAGTGAGCAGCAAGCCAGCTGTGCCTCAACAGTTAAACAGAGTTACAGGATTCTAGTGTTTGACCCAAGGGGGCCGAAGATACATCCCACAAAAACTTACATAGGAATGCTCACACCATCACTGTTCATCACAGCTAGAAAGTAGAAACAACTCCAAGAGTCCAGTATCAATTCTGATGTGTATCTTTTTCCCACACCACCAAGCAATTTTCTGACACAAGTCAGGTGTCCCACAATTCAACTCAATTCTGACACTACCTGGACAGAGCGTCAGATCCCACAGGCTGAGGGCTCAATCATAAGACTGCCCCAAGAAGGCTCTCTTCAGATGTCAATAGCAAGTCCAGGTTGTCAACTGCATCTGACCGACTGGTTATAGATCAGAGGTTCCCAGGACTCCCTCCTTGGGTATAATTTGCTGGAGCCGCTCAGAACTCAGGAAACATTTTGCTTAACTGGATTACAAGTTCATCATGAAAGGATGTAACTCAGGAATGGCCAAATGCAAGAGAAGCACAGGGTGGGGAAATGGGCACGGAGCCGCTGTGCTCTCTGGGTGCACCACTCTCTCTGAGCCTCCACGTGAAGCCCGCCACACCCTATCCTTTTGAGTTTTTATGGAGGCTTCATTACATAGACACGATTGATCAAATTACTGAACTTTGGTGACTGATTCAGCCTCTAGCCTAGAGGTAGAGGTGGGGTTGCAAGTTCCAACCTTCTAATCATATGTTTGATTCTAATAGCAATCACCTTCCATCCTTAGGGGAGATCCAAAGTCACCTTAGTAATCTAGCAAAAGACACGTTTATCACTCTTATCACTTAGGAAATTCCAAGAGTTTTAGGACCTTTGTGCCAAAAACAGGGAAGGAAGACCAAATATATATTTCTTATTATATATCATAATATCACAAGCCCAAATGTACATCAACTGATCAATGCATAAACAGAACATGGCCTATCCATGCCATGGACTATTATTTGGCAATAAAAAGGAACAAGGTTCTGATACCTTCTACAACATGGATGAACCCTGAAAACATTTGCTAAGTGAAAGAAACCAGGTGCTCAAGGCCACATACACTTATGTGAAATGTTTGGAATAGGCAAATCCATAGAGACAGAAAGTAGGTTGTGGTTGCCAGGGGTTAAGGGGAGTGAGACACGGGGAGTGACTGCTAATGGGCACAGAGGTTTCTTCTTGGGGGTTTCTACTTTAAAAGGATGAATTTTATGGGATATGAATTGCATCTTAAAAAAGAAGAATCATGTCAAAACCTGATCCTGATTCCCTATCTAGGGGCACTCATAGACTGGTTTGCTCTTGCTCTGCCCATGGCTGAGGAAGTAGGGCCTCACCAACTTCCTGTGATCTCACATCTGGCTGGGACTCACAGGGGAGCTGATTGGGGCAGGGGGCGGGGAACCTGTGTCTCTTTACATCTTGTGGCATGTGCCGACCCCACTGCATCCCTCATGCTGACTGCGCCTCTAAGCCTCAGGCTACTCCTCTCAGGTCTGGCTGCACATGTGGGCAGCAAATTCTGATGGTCAAATGCCGCCAGTGAGAAAATGAGGCAGCTGGGGCCAGGACAGCACCTGGCCAGATGCTCACCCAACAAGGGCCACAACGACCCACAATGACCCATACCAGGTTTCCAGTGGTGCTTGCTTCTCTGTCAGAAAAGATGCTTGGGAACAATCACCACACCTGAGAGGCCTGGCCCGTGAGATGTCCCCACCCTCGAAGTAGCCCCAGGACCAGGCTATAATATAAGGGAAAGGGAGGCCAGAGGAGGCAGCTGTCCTTGCTCCCAGCCAGAACTAATGACCTCACTGGTCTGTGGTCTCACACACAATCACCTGTTCAAGGTGACAAGGGCTTTATGGTCAGACAGTCCTGACTTCTAATCCTGACCCTGCCATTCAGCCACCTGACCCTGGACCAGTTACCTTCACCATCCAATCCCCTCCCTACAGCATCTACTGAGCGCCCACCGTGGGCCGGGCCTATGCAGGTTGGAGGAGATGCAAGGCTAAACAGGACAGGTCCTGCCCTTCAGGGGGCAGGTGGTTCACAAGCACTGATAAGACAGTGTGTGTGCAGCTGGAGCGGGGCTGGAAGACTTTAGAAGTATCTGAGCCCCAGTTTGCTAGGGAACTGTTAGGGGTAGGGTGTAGAGGAAGGCATGTAATGCACTTTCTTAACTAGCATGAGCTTTTCATGGACATAGAGCCAGACCACGTGGCACATCCAGGAACCTAAGCTTTGGCCTACCTCCAGAATAAGACATGGGGCTGGTGCGGGGGCACAGCCAAAGATCAGATGGAAACCATATGCATGGGCAGGTCATCAAAAACGGTGACCCAGACAAAGAGATAGCTCTGTACTTGATTTTGCAGGTGACAAGGAGCCTCAGTTTCCTCCTATGTGCCAATGGAGATTTGCCCTTGCAAGGTTGTTGTGAAGATTATAGGAGATACCTACGTACCACTTCAGAGATTTTTGGAACCACAGCCAAGCTTAGTCAGTGGATTAGGGACTGGGCAGGGACAATGGAACACACACAGATGGCTTCAGATTTCATTTTTTCTACCAAAGAGAATCTGCATCACCCATCTCTGAACCTCCTACTGCCCCACTGGGGAGCATAGGCAGCAAAGCTGCATATTTCACATTTTGAATTCTCTTACTTTAGAAAGTTTAACACCAAATGGCAAATGAACGCAAATTATACTTCAGTTGCACAATTAAAGCCGGAAATGTTGTCTACTGGTTCCTTCAATAATCCTAGCCTCTCCTCTGGTGCTTACTTATCAGATTTGTCTCTGGTCCCTGGGGGCTAAAGCCAACGGGCAGCAGTGCGTGTAAGCACTTGTACACATACACACACTTCCCGCCCCATAAAGTGGGAGGGAGTCCCCTTTAAGTGGGAGGTGGAGAATAGCACCTTCTTGTTCAGCCTCTAGAGGCAAGAAGCTTGAAGGGGCTGCCAAAATGCAGGCCAAGGAACATCTTGAAGAGGGGAGTGGGGAGTTGAGGGGGAGCCACTCCGAGGTTCTGAGGCTCCCGTGCCCATCAAGTCTGGCCGCTGGCTCTCTCCCAAATGACCAGCAAACCCCAGTCATTCCAGGTGCTGGACATGAGAATATGGAACCACAGTCCTGACCCAGGCCTAGGCCAGAACTCTGCTTGGGGGTGGTGAGGAGACACCCTAGGGGTGGGGGGCAATGTCAACAGGGGCCTGGGACAGAGCAAGAGAAATCACAAAGGGGTTGCCCTCTGGCTGGACCTGGCTGTGAGTCTCTGTGCCAGGCTGGGGTTTTGGTGCTTCACTCCCCTGGAGACCCCTGGCCTGTGGGCAGGAAGCTCTGGGATGAGGACGTGGTGATCTCAGAAGCCCTGCTTATGCTCATGGCCTGGACAAAGGCCACAAGCTATAGATGCACCGCCTAGTCTCCAGAAACACAGAGCTTGTCCCCCTTCCAGGGAGCAGGCTGGCTGGGCCCATGACTGCACTGGCCTGTAGTGCTGGCTCTGAGGACAGGGAAGGCTCAAAGAAAGCAGGAGGAAGCCACACCAATTAGTATGCACTACACAGCTTTTCGCAGAATGAATATAAAACACTTGTGCTTTCTTTTTGTGTGAGAGAAAGAAGGGGGAAAGAGAGGGAGGGAAGAAGGTTACAAGAGAGCAATATTCTGCAGGAGCAGGAGTGCCTGCTGTTACCATGGCAATGGGCTGGGGGCAGGGAAGGCACATCAGCTGGGCCTTGGTCCTAGAGTGAGCTGGCCATCGATAGAGTGAAAGGATTGGTGGCAACTGGGTGAGGAAAACATCTGACAAAGCAACTCTGAGGGGGAGGCTGCAGGGATGAGGGGGAAGGGGCATCAAACCCTACACAGTTTGGGGAGCAAAGTGAGGAAG